TGACATAGATTGGCTCATCCCACCTCATCACAAGGCTAGACAGCTCCCTCGCGACAAGTCAAGCCGTCTACTTTTTTGTCTTAGAAAAATAATGTTCATTTTTATGTTGGTAGAGACATTATGGTCACCACTCCTCTGCTACCACTTTCAAGCCATCATGCCCCCACAGGTCGTGGCTACTCGACAAGATAACATGGCATGGCATGGCCTGATGTATGGCTCCTCATGTCAAGCCATCACAATGACTTGGTGGCAAGATCTTCATGTCGAAGTCTAACAACTCCGACTCAAGATTTTCACTTTGATGTTTTCCTTCTATCTTTTCTTTTAGCCACGTTTGGATACAATATTTTTTTATAACTAATATATAATAAGTACATTATATAAATTTATTTATTTTATATGGCAAGAAGTGACAAATGTCACTGCTCTCCATTGCCTTTGGCAATAATCAATGTACCAAAGGTGTACACCCATTGCCAAGTCCATGGGCCACCTTACTTGACATGTCAAGGCTATCATGATTATTCTTCTGCCTTGATTTCCTCCCACTTGATAAATGCTTAATCTCCTCACGATGTTGGGGACCAGGTCTAGGCTTGACAAGTTGACAACCACTCGTGTAGCTTCCTTGTCTTCGTTCTTCAATATATAAACCTTGTTGGCCCCTACACTTAGCACTCAACCACCATTGATTCTTTGTGCGGCCATGTTTGGCTGGTGTGTATGGTGACTTCTTATACATGCCCCCATGTACACTCTTTGTGGTTAGTGTCGAGTACTTACTATTCATTTACATGGACTTGCCCCCCAATCCTCCCTTGTCCATAATCTCATGCTTACAAAATCCATGTGAGGGTTTGACTTCTTGTGTCTTCTTGGAGATGCTGTCTACTCCATTCTTCATGGTGGGTGAAATGCTCCCTTGTCCAGACTTAGCCAAATTTGCGAGACTGTGACAACTATTTCTGCCTTTTCCACGTCTTTCCTTCTTGGACTTGCCCCCAGATGGACATCTCGACTTCTCTTCGTCAACCTTAAAACTCTTCTTGCAATGAGCACACAACTTCTCAACTTCATCAGTCATCATTGCGGCCAGGCTGGCCTGCTTGGTACATGATGAGCTTCCTTGATCGAAAACCACGTTGGGTCTCCTTCGAGGCGGTGTTGTATCCAACACCAGCTTGAAACGTGGCAACTCGACTTTGGAGAAGTCTGGGTTGACCATGTTGACGCCAAGCACCTTGGGGAACGGATCAGAGTCCACCAACATGGCATCCTTCTTTGCCTCAGGGAACTTGATGATTCCCTTATCAATGGTATCCTGCAAGACATTACGGAACACCACATAAGAATCAGTGACATGTGACATGCTATTATGCCACTTACAATACTTTTTCCCTTTTAATTTCTCGGGTGAGGGAAAGACATGCCCCCCTGTCAACTTGACTTGACCATCCTTATAGAGTTGGTCAAAAATCAAGTCTGGCTTGGAGACGTCAAAGGAGTACTTCCTCGACTGAATGGGAGCACGATTGGGTCTCCCCCCTTTGTGGTGCCTCTTCAACTTTAGACAAGGAAGCACATATGTATGGCTTCCCTAGAGTTATCTCAGCCAAGTCTACCTCAACCTCATTGGCCTCGTGGCCAATATGATTGATGGTATAGTCTAAGTTTGGGAAGTATGATCCCCTTGATGTACTCCTACGATTCTCTTCCTCATGTAGAATAGACTCATACCTCACGACACAAGACATGAGTTGAAATAAATCAGAGAACTCCCTATCTTGGAATTTCTTCCGTAGTTCAAAACTCAAACCCCCTTGTGCCAGCTTGACAAACTCCCTCTCCGTCAAATTAACAAAGCAACGGTTACGGGCATTCTTGAAGTTAGTCAAGAAATGCTCAACCGATTCCCCTGGCTGTTGGCGCATATGTGCCAAATCAGCCATGGACACCTCGGGCTCAGATCTGTAAAACTGAGCGTGGAAGACTTGTTCCATCTGTTGCCAAGTCTGGATGGAGTTAGACGGCAAGTTGACGTACCAAGCAAAAGCTGGCCCTGTCAATGAGTTTCCAAATAGTCTTAACTTAACAAAATCTCCTACATCGCCACATTGTACAGTGAAACGTCCAACGTGCTCTACAGTGGACTGATCTCCAGTCCCTGTGAATGTGGCCAACTCGGGAACTCTGAATCCTCTTGGAAACGGGTAAAGTCTATCTACCCATTCTGGGTACGGCTTACGGTATACAGGTGGCATGGCAGGTCTTACTCCCATGCCAAACTGCTCCATGAGGAGTTGAGCCACTTGATCCCTAAGGGTGTTGGCTTCATGCCCCCCTTGTTGCCCCCCATACGGTACAAACCCAATGGGGTCCATGCCATGCCCATTGAAATGGGGTGGCGTTGGAGTTAGGTAGCCTCGAGGTGGAATTTGATCCATGTTACCACCTAGGCCTCCTCCTACTCCCAAATTCATGGGAGCCACGTAGGATCTTGCCTTCGGGATAGAGGGACGCGCACCCACTTGCACGGGTGGCTGCTCAACTCGAGTATTGAACATGGTGGCGAGGTTCTCGTCACGCGGGGGTACCAATTCAACTCCCACGCGTGCCTGTGACGATTTCCCCACTTGAGCGGTAGCAGGAATCTCAACATCACCTACTCGACGTGGAGTTGGTTGGCTTGCCGTTTGATGCGGCAAGTTCTCTTGCCGTGGTTGGCCATTCGGACCACCGGCGGGAGAAAGAACACTATTAGTAGGCGTTAAGCCTGTGCCATCTAATGGCAAAGCTCTTGACTGCACTACTGGTCTAGTTAGAGTTTGTCGAAACTGATCCAACTCATTTGTGTTTTTGTTAACCACCTCAAATAATTGACTTAAACGTCCATCAATGCGAGAATTGAGACAGTCCATTTGAGAATTTACCTGATGAGTATTGGCCTGAGTCTCTTCCAACATGCGACGGTTCTCCACCAGCATTTGGCGGTTCTCCTCCGTGGCTCGAAGGTTGTCAGCCACCATCTTGCGGTTCTCCTCCATCATCTGACGAAGGGCGCCCACTGCTTCGCCGAGATCTCCACCAGGCGCGGTTGCCACCAAGATCTCTGCTCCACCGTTTCCTCCGGTCACCGCATCGGACGCTTGGCCATGCTCAATGTTGGCCACCTGCTCGTCCACAAATCCAGCCGGAACGTCACCTTCTTGGTTCCTCCGCCTCGGAGCCATTGAATCGACCACAAGCGTCCCACTTGGTGTGCCAAATTTGTTCTCCGGCGAGAAAACTTGCGTTGAATTTATATTGATTGCACCTTGACTTCTTTGTACAACGATTACTCAGACACGGCTCACACCTCTTCAAACAAAGTTCGAACGAGGGTGATCAATGTTTACACGACTTTCGAGACAGATCTACAATAAGTTACTCCTACTCCTATGGAGGTTCTGAGAGAGCTCCAGATCTACAACTACTGATAAAAGTTGCAGGAGAAAGATAAAATTGGTAAAACTTGACAAATGATGTCGAGTGGTTATTTTTGCGGGCCTTTTCTCTGACAACTCTTCCTCCTATTTATAGGCTTGAGGTGATAACCGTCGTAGAAAACTGTCTGGAGAGTAACTTCCAAAAACAACTGCTTCCCTTCTTTCCCGGACTTGGCTGACGTGTCCTTGAACGTGGAGTAATTGACAGTTTCTCAATCAAACCGTCGGCTCTCCCTTTTGGAACTGACGTCTTGTTACTTGCCCTTTCCTTTACCATGGCTATTCCAGATCTCGCCGCGAGGAGGTTTGTCAAACATGATGACAACGCTACGATGTGGTTTACCAAAACTTGAAGCAAGGAGGCTTGTCGCGACAAGGCGGTCTACCAAACTCTACGCGAGGAAGCTTGGCGCTTAGACTTAGTAGAGGCTTGGCGGACTTGCGACGAGGTGGCCTGACGCGAGGAGGCTTGGCGCTTGAACTTAGTTTATTTTGTGACCTTCTCCCCACATATCTTGTAGACTCGCGATGTGGTTTAGACAAGGCGGTTTGTCGCGACAAGGCGGTCTACCAACTTGACGCGAGGAGGCTCGACGCGAGGAAGCTTGTCGCAATGAGGCACCAGACTTAGTTTATTCTCACGCGTCATGTCAGGCCTAATCGTTTGGGTTTAAAAATCTAGTATCATAGGCTCAGTTTAAATAACATTAATTGTTATTGTTGATCTGGCCTTATAAAGACAGTTAATGTCTTGTAAATAATCAATGCGTTACACGATTATTTTTTTTGTGTAAACAGAAGTATAGTAAAGGGTGCTAACGCTAACACTTGTATTAAGACCAAACATATTTATCACTGTAACATAGATGAGTTTCCTTATAAAATAAGGGAAATGAAAGTGGATACGTGTGTGTATGTTATTTGGACAAGTATTTTCTGAAAACAAAAGAGACAAATGGAATAGGGTTCCTTTATCGGGGTGTAGCAAAGCAATTAAACTGAAACATCACTTAGGACAAACTATAGTAGAAGGGATTACGTACGAAAGCTAATTCCTTTCCTGTTTCTCACACAAATATCAAGTTTAGAGTCTTCTTAATTGGAATAAAGCCGGACTTATGTGTGTATATATATGTCGAACAATCGCACTTCCATATAGCAAAAACATAAACTCACAGTTGAAAGCATAAGGAAAATTTTCTCCAAGCAACATACTAAATAAATTAAAGATATATATCCATGGCTTCGAAAGCTTGTATTCTTTTGTTCTTGTTGTTGGCTGCTTGCTTTCTAATCTCCGATGGCGCTTCCAGGGTCCGACTCTCAACAACCAACTCATCACCGCTCCCTTCCATAGTTTCCGATAGGGTTGACGGTGTCCTTCAGGTATCCATTGCATGCATGCACGCAACATTCTTTTTCATCTTTCGGCCATGTTAGTATTACGTTAGAACTATAATAACCATTATGTTAGTATTATATAATAACCGTTATTGATTGGCTACTGTATAGGCCGAAAGCGACTTCTCCCCGCCAGCACCAGTGGCCTTGATTGCTACGGCCAAAAACGGCAATGAAATTGACTGTCATAAGCAAAAGGGCGATGACGCACCAGCTCCCGTGGACGACTAATGATAGAAGCCAAATCACACCAATAGGTTAATCATGATCACCATACAGATTTTGCTTCATGTGTCGTCCAATGCGTGTCCCTCCACTACAGAAAAATTGATCTTTCATCACGGGATTTTAATTACGGGATTTTCCCATTACCAAAGGTATAGCTATCGGTCACGGGAACAATTGCCATTATTAATTGAGTAAGACAGCTTTAATGAGTAATGGGATATCAGCCCGTAATGATTGATTGTTGATTACCCGTGACAACTGAAAGGGAAATACCTAGCGGTAAAGAGAAATGCTTTTTGGCTCCAATCTTTTCGTTTTGGCTCCAAGGTTGGAAAATTGAAACTAGTTTTGGCTCCAAGGAAAGAAAAATGAAGACCCAAAATCATCAAAAAAATTAAACAAACAGAAAAGTGAGCTCCTTTCTTGTTCTCGCTTTTCCAAAATCCCTAGGTCAAAAAAGATCCACGACCTCCTTGTCTCCAACCCAATCGTTCCCATCGATGGCGTTCCTTCCTCCATTTCAATCCTTCCTTCAACCAAATTGTGTGACTTTTGAAGTTCTGTTCAGTCTCGAAGAGAAGGATTTGAATGGTCTCCTTCCTTTGACCCAATCGGTCACTTCGCCAGCAAAATCAAATGCCCGGCGAACATTTTGAGGGACTGAAAAAGTCCATACCGGTCGTGGGGAGATGGATTTTGAATCATCGCGGCAATAGGATCGAGGAGGAGGATTTACACGACATTGGTACGGTGAAAGCAAATGGAGCTCGGGAAGCTTAGAGTATATATTCACCACTAAGCCACTAATCTCCAGCTATGTGGGTCATCATCTCTCCCGTCCACCCTCAACTTTTCCTCATTTAACGATAGAAGCGAAACCATGACTGGATTCTGCTTGGCAACCGGCTCTTTCTTTCTTTCAGTTAGCTCGGTCCCCTGTTTTGAGTTTCATTTTCTGCCTTATGAAAATCTTTGATTTGGTTTTGATTCCTGCCAATTAACCTCTAAGTTCTGCAGGATTTTTTGTCATTGGTCGTTGGAATTTGGAGGCAGAACATGGACTCTTGGTCTTGGGTTCCGGCAACAAGTCCGGGTTTAGCAAATTAATTGAAGGTACAAGCAATTTTCACAGGCGTTATTTTTTGTGATGGGATTCAATGGTTTTCTAGCTTGCACGTGTAAAGCTAGGTGAAGCTTTGATAATTTAGTTGAATCCTTGAAGCACTTATGGGATCAAAGGCTCATTTCCTTTTTATCTGTTCTAAATGCAGTTTTTTGTTCTCTGTTACAAAGTCAAATTGATCTTCTTCCTCACTTATGGTCAATCCAAGGGTTTCGTCTTGTAATTGGCATATGTAAAGCAAGTGAAGATCATTAGTATAGGTTCTAAATAGATGATTGTTTGTGGTCAAGTGATTGAAGGAGACTGAAGCAAGCGAGAGAGTGAAGCAAAGTGAATATCTAATTAATCAGTCAACAACCCTTTCTTTCATTGCAATCTGCATGTGTCGTCAAGGTTATGCTAAGTATACAAACATGGAAAGAAAAAGAAAAAGAAAAAAACAAAGAATTCGCTAGAGATAGAGATAAATCATCTTGTTGTCTCTATTTCTTTCTCTTTTGACAGCATGCAAACTACCAATAAAAGAATCAAAATTTGATATTTGCAAACGCCTTTGTTCATTGAATTCACTCCTTTGTTGTTTGTATTTAGTGTATCTTCTTCCTTCAGAGGCATGTGATTTTGCACATAAAACTAGTAAAAAAGGGGATATGAATGTGTAAAACATATATGCTACCTTATTTCTGATAATGGTGATTAAAGTCCTATTAAGGATTCAGGATCGCTCCATCATTCTATCTTAAATATAGAACACTTAACTCCTATCCTTTTATTATAGCTACTGGTCTTTTATTGTTTGGAGAGTGGGGTTGCATATGAAATCAGTTTCAGAACATTGAATCTCCTGGCTGTTTGTTGAGGTGTTGTGTTTGTGCTGTTTTGAGTGAGGTTGTCTATGAAATTAATTTCAGAAAACTTAAGTCCTGGCTGTTTGGGTAGCGGGCTGCTGTAGTTTTGCTGTTTGGAGAGTGTGCATGCCTTTGAGATCAATTTCAAACACTGAATACCTGGTTGTTTGTTGAGATGCTGTGTTTTTGTTTGGAGTGTGGTTGCCTATAAAATTAGTTTCAGAAAACTCAATTCTTGGTTGTTTGTTGAGCTGCTATATTTTTATTGTAGTGTTGTTTAACAAAGCTAATTTTTGTAATTTTTTATTTATAATTCAGAAGTGCAATACAAAGTGGGCGAAAGAAAGATGAAACATAAGAAAAGTAGTTCAGCCTTGCACATTGTCGAGTGCAATGACAATTTTGTTTTGAAGAAACCTACAAAGTACTCTAGCTTATTTTGTTGAAGCATTGCTTCTGGTATTTTGTGATATGATTGATTTGATAGGTTCCATTTGCCTAAAATACTTTAAGAATAGATTTTTTTAATTGTAAACTAGCGTTGACAAGTGAATGATATATATTGATAAGTCTTCTTAATTTTTTGAAGCCAAAATTCATCTCATAACTGTTGCAGGTCTTTCGGGTTAATTTCAACTAATATCAATCACAATATTCTTGTGGATATTTCCCGTGACTAGTTGCAACTACCTGGTACGAGATTTTACTGTGACTAGGAAAAACTAACATCACGGGTTTTCCGTGACCGTTGAGAAAAAACCCGTTGCTTTAGCTTCAACACCGTGCCCACATTCCCGTGACTATTGGTCAAAATCTCGTGTCAAATAACTCAATTAGTTATGGGAAATCACGTGACTAGTTTACATTTTTGTCACGATAATGTTCCCGTGTTAAATACTTAGTCACGGGAATTACCATGACAAAGCAGATCATTTGTCACAGGATTATTCCCGTTATTGTATATCAGACGTCACGGTAATTCCCGTGATCATTGATATTCAACCACGGGCATGCTTGTCACGGGAATATACCGTGATGTATACCTTCGGTTACGGGAAATGACTGTTTCATCACGGGAAATCCCGTGATAGAAGGTGCATTTTCCTGTAGTGCTCCGTGCTTTCTACGCATTATAATATCTATTGTTCGTGTTTTACATCTGCTGAATTAGTACAATAAATAAAAGGGTGCATGCATGCATGCAATTTCCTCCACCACTCATCTAATCAACCTGTAACACCCCGACGTTTGGCTTCAAGTTCGACCATAATAATGAATGATTGGATAGACGATTACTTACGAAGAGTTGCAACAGTGAATAAGAGACAATAATAGTACATTATTATTATTATCTAGTTATAAACGAACACTTATAGTGACTGGCTCCCCATTTACGTGTCCTTCTTCTGAGATCTCCAACCTTCATAAATCATCATCATATCCCTAAAGCTAGCACCTCCAAAATATTCAACCACTTGTCCCTACAATAATTACTCCAGATCTGAAATAATGGCAAAATAAGATCCAATCAATATAATTCCATTAAAGAAAGAGGAAGAAGAGATGCTTCCGTTTATCTGTTCAAATAAAGCAGCAGTAGCAACCCTTCCATCTTCTTTTCGTTACACAAACAAACCAAGGAGACCCAGCACCTTCTTTTATTCTCCCCCTCGACAACAAACAAGAAGGCAACACCATCTCCTTTTCTCCGGGTCCGGATCTGCTCAGTAACCGACGGGTGAGTAACCACCCATCTCACCGTCCATCGCGCCATCCTCCCAGCCGTCAGATCATGCCAATTAAATACACGCGGGGGCAAAATAGTAATCACCCTCTGACAATTTGAATTGCAGACGTTACAGTTACAACCGTCCCGTCTTCTCTCCTTCTTTCTCTCACCTTTCAAGCGACAGTTCCACTTCCCTCTGCTCTCTAACTCTCCATTCTTCCTCCCGATCCTCAATTCTCTCACCAAAATCGCAGCAAAAACTTCCAGAAAAAAACTTCAAATCGAACGATTTTCGCAAAGCTTTTCGAAGAATCATTCAATGATACACTGTTCTCACTTCTTCGTCAAACGAAGGGTTTCCAACTTCAACGAGGCTCAAAAATCATTTTCGCACAAAATATCAAGGTAAAACCTCACTTCTTTCTTCGAAATCCATCCACAGAACAATAGAACAGTATCTCAGTCACTCTTCATGTGAAAATTGTAGTAAACTCGCTAAATTACCGAATTGTTACCATGCGTTGCTGAACTGATGTAGAATCTGTTGTGTTTTGCTTCGTTACCATATGGTAATGTGTGGTAAGTTATGATTGCATGTTGTAAAATATCAAAAAACCATAAGTCCTGTTGTGTTTTAGTTTGTTACCATATGGTAATGTGTGGTAAATTATGATTGCATTTTGTAAAAAAGCAAAAAACCATAAGTCCTGCTGTGTTTTAGTTTGTTACCATATGGTAATGTGTGGTAAATTATGGTTTCATGTGGTAAAAAAGCAAAAAACCATAAGTCCTGCTGTGTTTTAGTTTGTTACCATATGGTAATGTGGGGTAAGCTATGGTTTCATGTTGTAAAAAAGCAAAAAACCATAAGTCCTGCTGTGTTTTAGTTTGTTACCATATGGTAATGTGTGGTAAGCTATGGTTTCATGTTGTAAAATAGCAAAAAAACCATAAGTCCTGCTGTGTTTTAGTTTATTACCATATGGTAATGTGTGGTAAGCTATGGTTTCATGTTGTAAAAAAGCAAAAAATCATAAGTCCTGTTGTGTTTTAGTTTGTTACCATATGGTAATGTGTGGTAAGCTATGGTTTCATGTTGTAAAATAGCAAAAAAACCATAAGTCCTGCTGTGTTTTAGTTTGTTACCATATGGTAATGTGTGGTAAGCTATGGTTTCATGCTATAAAAATGGAGGAAAACATACGTCCTGTTGTGTTTTACTTCGTTACCATATGGTAATATG